ACAGCCGCCAACGAGCAGCGAACACCGCACCACAGCAGGAGACACACGCAGCCAGCATCTTGTGCGGAAAATGGGACGCGGCACCACAGCGGGGCGACACATTCAGCCGGCATCGTGTGTAAATAATAGGACGTGAGGGCCAAAAAAAAAAGGACAAAAAAAAGGACCGAAATAAAACTCCACCCCCAAAAAACTCCTGAGAAGACATGTGTTAGTGTCATTCACGGCTGCTGCGTCCAGACCGGCGCCAACCGAATTTTGGCTTCACGACCGCTTGCAGCCTACATGGGTCCAAAGCATCTCGACAGCAGGTACTTGTAGCATCGAAAACACCATATGATGGAAGCAAAACCGCAAAGCACCAGCGAGGCGAGGCTCGGCACCACCTGGGCAGGCTCACGGCTCGTGTCGCTGGCTGTGACCTTGGAGCGCAGACGTGGTGCAGTGCCTGGTGCAGGTGGTTGTTGTCCGTCAACCTAGCATGTTCTGGAATTCTGCTTGCATTCTCAATACATTAGTTCGAGCCTGAGAATCCCAACCATTGACATTGCCTCAAGTTTCAGGACTGCTGTTTTGCATCAGGTCCGATTGAACATGCAGGACCTGGAGTCGAAGCAGGTGGAGAGCGGGCAGCACATGCGCAAGCTCACATAATCATTAATCGTGCCTCGCCATGCAATCTTCTCTTCCGACGGTTTTGCAGGCTTCAGGAGCCAGCATCGGCCAGTTGTACTTTGTAGCCAGCGAGGAACGATGGGGTGGCGAGGGATGGCGACTGCGCTGTTGTTTCTCACCGTGCTTCTGATTGGCGCAGGAGCTTGCAGATGCATCCTCGGAGGCTGCGGCCTTCACGGAGCCTAAGCCACTGCACTGCTGCCATGCCGTTCTGCTGCACCAGTGCAACAGTAGCCAAACTGCGGATCAAGGCCATTGCATCCTTCGAGGCGGCGGTGATTTATCCGTATGATGTGTAACGGCCTCTTATGGTTTGTTTGCTCTGTTCCGTCGCTGTGGGGAGATAGCTCTTCTTCTGCAGTCTGCTTGCAGGGCTTCACCAGTGCTGAGGTCTCAAATGCGCTTATACGAGCTCTACGCGTTGTCAGTTCCGCTTTTCGTGCTTGCTCCTTACACCTTCTGGTTTTGTGATCAGTAGCCACAACGAAACGGACAGGCCGGAGAGTCCCCAGCTGCCCAGCTACATCTACCGCGGCCTCACTTCCATCGAGGCCGGGGCAAAGGGTTGCTGAGTAGAGAGGTCAAATGATGTCATGTATTCTGCCAGGACTTTGATCACACGCTCCCGGGCGCCGGCATCGGTCGGGAGCTCGGAGTGCTTCGCTTCGGTGAGCGCCCAGCCATCAGCGGAGGAGCCTTCCCAGACTCGGCTCAGACTCCACACCTCCACTACAACCCGCCGCTGACTTAGCTCCTCGTAGGCTCCTTGTCCTCTGCTTGAAAGGAAGGGCGGAAGCTGCGGCTCTGCAGGTTCGACCGAAGGGACTGGCGAGGAGTGGATGCTTGGACGCAACTGACGCACTGGGCGAGAGGCCAAGGCAAAGCGAGTCCCGGCGAGCGTTCAAAAGGCTTGTCGTGGCCGCCGTCTGCGCCCTGAGGTGACTCTGCCACACTTGCTTCGATTTGCAGCCTCCTGAGGCTGCAGGTGCTTACTCAACTGGACTGGAGGCAACTGACAGCCCGTTGCTTGCGGTTGATTACGCCGAGGCCAGCGCGGCACAGATCTTGGAGCAACTATTGCAGGCCTTCCATGATCATCTTCATGACTTTGGAACATCCAAAAACAAGCTTCCAAGGACCTTCGACCAATCTCCGCTGCCATGCGCCGGCAGCAGGAACGCATCACCGGCAACTCTTCGCTCGGTGCATGTGTCATTCTTTGTCGGACACTGCTGAGAGACGTCAATTATTCTTTGCTGCTTCCGTGATCCGTTTGTCCATGGCAGGTGACGTCGTCCACGCCGTTCGCTTCTGGACAGCTGCTCTGGGAAGCATCGGTTTCAAAAATCGTGCAGTGCACTTGAGTTGCAGCCTGCACTCGGCCGTCTCGTATGTTTGGTTTGCTGGATTTCGCAGCCTGCGGTCCAGTATCTGCTGCAAAGCGATGTGGAACAGGCCTTTCACCCACTCTTCACAGCAGGTAACTTCCAGGTTCTAAGAGACGCAAAAGCGTACATTTTGTCAAAACAGGTCTGCAAGGATCGCGATCAGAATATGAAGTCACTGACAGCATATCATCGTTGCACTATGCGACAGCACCCAGTTCGAAAAGACATTCAACATCAACATGCTTGCGGGATGAAATGAACGGGTGATCTGCTCCTTCCGGATCTGTCGGGGCAGCTCAGCATTCGGCAGTTCCTAGGGTCCCAGCAATCACGTATGCCACATATGCATTTCCAAGGTTGTCAGACTCGTCGTGGGACTTATGGGATTATCTTGGCAAGACAGATTTGACAGACTGGACGGTCCGCATGCATGTCACTGTTCAGATGAAGCACGGAGCCGGCATGCTCGCCAGGTGCGTCGCACTGCTGGGCATCTACCGCAAGCAAGCGTCTTGCAGCATGCCTCAACAGACGAGGTTCTGTACAAACATGGTGCCCTAGCAGCGGATGCGGAGCACAGTAACCTGGTCATAGGCGACGTGTCTTCGTCGCTTCTGGACCGACGAGCTCCCGCGGAAGCCTTGACTTCTGCGTCGAAACGTTATGCAAAGCGAAGACTTCTCGAAGGTCGTCGGCTTTGACGGGTTGTTCCGTACGCTTGCTGTGCCGCATCAAGGATGCCATCAAGCTCCCGATGGAGCGGTTAAGTGCTTGATGTACTTGTTTGTTGCGAGAGGATCAGTTCCGTGCCTGGGGCCTGGAATTGAGGCCAGCAGTTTGGGAGTTTCATAGCATTGAGTGTGAGTGTAGTGCGAAGGTGAAACTCTGAGTAGTTTCTCTGTGCCACGCATTGCCTGCTTATGTGGAGGCAACAGCACTGGGACAAGCAACAAATGTACCACACGCGAAAGCAGGCGATGCCAAGGCTCGCTCCTTCGAGAAGCGTTACCTTGCACTTTGTTCACTCGTACTCCCAGTGATCATCGATGAATAATTATCCGATTTAGCTAAGGGTTAAAACGATTACATTTTTAGCACAAGGTGCTCAAACCATCTCAAAGAGCATGTCTAGTTTGAGAGAATTCCGCAACTGCCAGCTTGGAGCAACATCGGTTGACGCCGTCAAGCGGCAGCGACTTACCATGAGCGTGGCTGGGTTCAGGTTGCAGGTGTACCCTTTCAACGGGAATTCCATTGGAGACGCGGTCGGAGTCCTCATCTATGGGGACCCGGCCAGCTTCGATTGGGAAGTGGACCACCCTCGAGACTCAGGCTGTCTCGAGGCGACCGGGCCACAGCCACAGCCCTTGTAGGAGAGCGCCGAAGGCGAGTGCCTCCGCAGGACGGAGAGCGCGAGGATCTTCGTCTCTCAATCGGAACTCTTCCGCTCTTGGCCGGCGCCTGGCCAACCGGGCGAACGTTTTAGCGATATAACTGGAGATTGTCGGGCTTGGCAACCAAAAAGCCTCAGCTGACGACCGCAAATCTGAGTCCGTGTGTGCTGCTCCCCCTGTCGAGCATTACAGCGTGTTAAGTGGCGTTCACTTGCGTGAAGGCCACGCCTTAGGTGGATCTTTTAGACGACCACAACCATTCTCATCGAGATAAGGGCCAAACAAGGTTGTGCTTTTGCAGATTCCGGGGAACCCCACATCCCGTCGAGGAACAGCCATTCTAACGCAAACGGCAGCGATGCACCCGACTGGTTGGATGTCAAGGGTCTACCGAAGTTCGATTTATGAACATAGTCTGCCGGTATCTGCCGGTGGTTTAAATTCGGCGGCACGGCGTTTGGAAACCATCCTCACGTGTTGGACCTCCTGGGCTGGAGTCGCAGCTGTTGTGCGATGTGACCGCGCTTTGCGAAGCAACCCTTCGTGCGAAATGGTGCTCCGCTCCGGTGCTCGGAGCAATGGTCCGTAAGGATGTGTAACGTGCAGATACGTCGCAGCTGCAGTCGGTCATCGGTGAGTGTTGCATTGCCAACAGTACCAGGACTAGGATGCGGCACGAAGGATGTTACCTTGCTCATGCTCAATGGTTAGCAGCAATAGGATTTTGAGACGGATTTCTATCCTCATGGATGAGGACAAAGCGCGAATCTTGGATCCGCTGCGGACCAAAGCGATTCGAAAGCCGCCTCGTCTTATCACCCAACCACTGAGTGAGAGCCTGTGGGTGTGTCACTGCGTGTCATGCCTGTCAGCCCAAAACTTTTGTCCCAGGCGCACGCGGAGGCCTCAGCTCACGCAATCGACCAAACACACTCATTTCCGATTTGACCACGGGTACGTATGTAGTTAACTCGAGTCTTGGGAGGAACAGCAGGAGGAGGCAGGGGAGGAGGAGGGGCCAGGGACCATACTCGAGGACTCGGACGCGGTACCCGACCTCCCTGCCCTTAGAAGGTTCGCCTTACGCCCGACCATTCCAAGGGGCATGACATCATCGTTTTGTCGGCCTTTGACGGGGTGGGGGCGGCCCACATGGTTGACACGCGCACGCCTACTTGCAGGCAACGCCTGTTGATCGTTTCGTTCTCATGCGGCACGGCGGCAACCTGGTGGAGGACCACGAGGAAGCAAGCCTGAGGCTATGTCCAACCTGAGAATGCCTCTGTGACGGCGGCAGGATGTGGCAGGGGATTTTGGAGTAAGGACCAAGGCTGTGCAGATGTTCATTTCAGTCGCATTTCCCAACGGTTCTTGCTTTGATGAAACAGTGGCGCGGGTTGACCATTGTGTTTGACGGCCGGAGATCTGTAGTGGACCTCCTTTTCAGGACGGGTCAAGTGTGTTAAGTAGGACGCTAAGAACAAGGGTGCCTGCGTTGGGACCAGCTCGATGCATACGGCCACCAAGTATTAATCACGTAGCCGACAAACCGAACAAGATCATTTTTTTTTCATTCTCCGTGGTTGAGTCTTCTACCGGCAGTCGCCTAGCATACAAATTGTTGAATTCACATGCACACGGCAATGCTGGTGTTCCTATGAGGCCATCCAGCGAAAAACAGAACGCAAGAAACACTGAGAACTCAGCGCCCTGAGCTAGCTGAAAAAAGCCCACCCCCGAGGCAGAAATCGACAAGCTGGTAGTGTGCACTCGGGGGTTGCAAATCTGAGCTTCTCAAGCCCATGCAAGGGACGTTATCACACCCCAAAGCGGAAGGTATCCATCCTCCATCCTTCAAAGCTATTCTGGATACACACTTTGTGCATACAGGCTTCCCTGCGAGACAGGACTCGCTAAACGATTGCAGCGCTCGCAGCTGAAAGTTGTCTGCGTCGGCATGGCAACATACCTAAGGCAGCAAGGCTCCTCTAAAGGGGCTCCCAGGAGAGGAAACCGTAGCTGCGGGACCCTCAAACATGTGCCAGACGATCCATGCAGTGACGATGTGTACAAAGATTGGACATACATGCATCCGACATGTGCATTAAAAGAGGTATGCACGCCTCCAAGCTCTGGTTGAACGATGTTGAACGATTCGCCAAACATCCAACCGTCATACTATACTATAGTTGGATGCCCTCCAGGCTCTGGTTGAACGCATAGCCAAATGTCAAACTCTGCCGGCTGCTGGGTACCCCGACCGGCCAGAAAAGGATAAATTCACAACCGACCGGGCAGCTGCAGCAACACCACAGGAGAATGTGACAAACAAACTGTCCAAACAGGGACTGCCGCTTTGCAAAATGCCAAAAACTCGTGTGGTCCCGGTTGAGTTCGGAGGATTCGGATCCCAAGGGACCGGATAGAAATCTATGGCGGATGCCGATGTCCTTGCATATCCTTGCTTGATTTTTGGATGGCGTAGGTAGTACTTCAGCCGCTCGTGTGCAACATTAACGTTGCACATAAATCTGTCATCCCTGTGCCGTTTTATCGGTGGAAAAGATTGCCGAAGGAGATTTGATTAGATTTGATCTTGATTCGGGAGGCATGATCACGTGGATTGGAGTTATACGGTCAAGGGTCACGCAGGTCGCTGATAGTTTCACTAAACCAACATAACCAACGCACCCAAACTGCATTTTGAAGATGGTACAGACGGGCAAGACTCAGTAGACCAAAGTGGCGCACCGAAAACCAACCTGGTTCCTTTCATTTCCTCTCTTAAGTTGCGCACAGAACTAGCTCACCACCGTCCCTTACACCGACATCGTCACCATGGCGCTTCTTGCTTCCGGCCCGTACCGAAATCCGAAGTCAGGCGGACGGGTGGAGTTCGAGCCGCGCGCTTGTCAGGACATGGACGATCCGGACGCATCACAGCAGACGCCGACGCTTTGTCTGCGGATCCGTTCGGCCCACGACCTGAGGCGCCGATCCTCTACTTTCGTGTTGAGGCCGACCGCTATGCTCTTTGCAGGACCACCGACACGGGAGACATTCTGGATCCGTCGCTGGCTTATCGGTCATCGCGTCACCCCACCCGCCCTGCGGTCTGTGAGGTACGTCGTGGTGCGTGCCGATGGTCATCAGTGGCAAACACCGTGTTGAACTCCGAACTTGGGTTCGCTGTCAAGTTCACTAGTTCAGCCATTGCACCGGACTCACCTGACTATGTCAATGTGTTTGTTCTGCCGTTGCGGCTCTTGCAACTCAGAGCTTGCGACCAAACCTATCTCTAGTGACATGTTTTGCTTGGAGACTCTTGTGTCATTTCGACTGCGGTGTCCCCGAGGAAAGCGAACCAAAGCTGCGTAAGTTGCACATTTCGGGTCAGGTGACATCGCATGACACATGCAATTACGTAAGTTTACGTCTTTGCGGTGGACGTACGAGTCCATGAGCATCTCTTGTCCAACCTGTCATGTGGAGCCTCGGGGACGAGAAGGAGGAGGGTTCGCCAACTCACGCGGCGCTGCGGGAGGATGCGGCCGGTGATGTGCACGGCGCCTCTCAGGACTTCGCCGTGAATGTCTCTCTATGAACTTGGGGTAATCCGCAACTGAGCAGGAGGTCGTGGCCCTGGAAGAGAGCCTCGCGGGAATCCCCAGCCAGAACGAACGTGGGTTCAGCACGGATAAGATGCGGTGCCTGCGGTGCGCTGAGTCTCTCCGTCTCTGAGGCGCCGGCGCCAGGGCGGGGCCCCGGCCCAGGGGGCTCTGGTCTTCTTGGCCGGCTCTCGCCACGGTTCCTGGAGGATCAAAGTTTCGATGACATGTGCTGCATACTGTAGCATCCAGCCAGCAACAACTTGTAAGTTAAGTCAGTTTCTAGCAGTGGGACTTGCGTACCCTTGTATACTTCTAGCTTAAGTGCATAAGCAGTACTCACTGAGATAGCAGCGCCTGGTTGGTGTTGCGCGCTGCGACTTAGTGGCTTGAGTAGGAAGGCATGGTTCTTCGCGGCTGGTGGCGATTATTGTTAATGTTATTGTTATTGTTATTGTTATTGTTGTTCTTACTACTAGTATGGACAGCAGCAAAGCATTTCCTTTGTTAGTTTTGTTTGATCCCAGTTTGACATTGTTCTGATCCGAAAGTTGGTAATCTGAATCTTGAGTATACCTTCCAGGAGATGAGATATTTTGATGTTTGTTGACACCTGTTTTGATTTGATTTTGAGCACAGACATTCGGTTTGTGTTGACCCCAACGTGATTTTTGATCCTTCAGCCAGTGCAGGGGTAGCAGCAGAAGTCGTAGTCGTCGTCGTAGTCGTAGTAGTAGGAGGAGGAGGAGTAGGAGGAGAAGGTGGTGGTGGTGGCGTCGTTGGTGTTGCTGTCGGTGCTGTAGTTCTTGTTGGAGGATGTTGAGCAGGACAGTACGTACTTTAGCGGGCATTCAAGTTTTGAGTGGTTTGGAGCAGTGGTGGTGTTCTAAAAAGGCAGCATCAGCCCTCGGAGGCGGTGATGGCACCAGGCGCAAACATTGGCATCAACCAGGCTCGGAAGTTGGGTCCCACAGTATACGTAGGAATTTTCATCGTGCTTGCAAGTCTCAACGTGCGGCTGCGAGTGCTTAGGCTGGCTGGCTGCAATTTGAACCTGGCGCACATGCCCACATCATGGCCCAGCACTCTGCCGATGAGATGCAAATCATCTTGTACCGTGCCTTGGCTGCTTCCAAGGAATCGCACAACAAGTGCAACACAGAGTTGCCAAAAAGTCCAAGAGACAAAGTAGAAGCAACCTTTCGAAAGAGTTGTTTGGATATCAGTGGCATGTGTTTGCAAGGCGGTCGTGAACTGGTGCTTTACGATGCGCACCGCCAGCTGGCCTTCGCCCGACGCTTGACCAAGGAGCAGGCGCAGGTGCTTGTTCACAACCGACGACACAGTTCCTGCCCTTTGTGCAAGCAAGCGTTGAGCGAGTCCTGGGCTTTCGTGGTGGAGGGCTACTGGGAAACCATACGAAAGGTTTTCTCCACCAATGCTGGTGAGAAAGAGACAGCTGCCATGGCACAGCTGCACAGCATTGCTGTAGGCTTACTGAATACTGGCTACTACGCCCGGTTCTTTCGTGAAGAGCGGAAACTTGGATCGGGCTCATTCGGGGCCGTGTATCTGTGCACACACATGATGGATGAAATCGAACTGGGACTTTTTGCCGTCAAGAAACTGGCCTTGGGAGATGATGCCAACAGGCTTCGGCAGGTGGTGCGGGAAGTGAAAGCTTTGGAAAAGCTACGACACATGAATGTCATTGATTACAAGCACTCATGGCTGGAGATCGACCGACATTCAGAGCTCTGTCCATACGTGCCCTTCCTGTACATCCTAATGGTGACTTGGCGAAAGCTGAGAAACTGAAAGCATATTGTCAAGGTGTTGTTGTTGCTGCGGTTGCTGTCCCCTAGCTAAGGAATACTGCAACTATGGCTCGATGGAGAACTTCCTGTGGCCAAGAACCCCGGGTTTCATTCGAGGCAGATCGGACAATTCCAAGCGAGCTCGGGAGCTTACAGAGGAGCTCATCTGGCACTTCTTCCATGGCACCACGGCCGCAGCTCAGCCAGCGCTTGCCATTCCTTGGTGCTTCTGTGTAACGAGTGGTTTCTGAGGCATGTGCAGCGGGCTGGACCACTTGCACTGCCGTGGGATTCTACACATGGACCTGAAACCGTCCAACATCATGCTGCACATGGACGAGACTGACACTTTGCCCAGGCCGATGCTGTCCGACTTCGGCACATGTCACATCATCGGAGAAGGCCCTTTATCAGAGCATGGCGGATATGCGGTGGAGTTCTGCCCGCCAGAGCGACTGGAAAGGCAGGAACTTTGTGAGAAGGGTGACATGTGGAGTGCAGGTCTAGTGCTGTACTCCATGTGCTATGGAGATCTCCCATACCACAGCGACGATCCTTTGGAATGTCGCCGTCAAGTTGAGAGCCACAAGGTTCTGCCTGAGCCGGTAGCAAATATTGCCTGGCAAAGAAGAGATGAGCGATTCTGGAATGTCGTTTGTATCCTGACGTCCCGGCAGCCTGTCGCTAGGCCGTCTGCCCGAGAGTGCGAGGTCTTAGCAGCGCAGGAGCTTGCGCGCCTGGCCATGGCGCCCAAGTCGCCAATGAAAAGCTTGAACTCTCCCTCCATGCACCCGCTTGCTGGCCCGCAAATGATCATGGATTCCTCCTCGCTGCCCCAGCTGCAAGATGGCGAATTGAATTGAGACGACTTGAGAGGACGCTGGACACACGGTCGCATGGCTGCTGGTGTGCTTGGTGGCCACGCATGAGCATGGGGTGCTTGCAAATACCTCCCATCAGAACGAAGGCAGAGGCGTGGCGACGCGTTGAAGATCGATGAAGCATGTTGAAGTACCAGCTCCACTAGGCCTCACTAGGCGTACTGGGCGAGCAATTGGACGAAGAGCTCCAATGTGCTGCCGGGTCTGTCAGTCTGATTGAACAGTCTGCTAGACACCAGTAGTGGAAAGCAGAGGGCTAAACAGTCATGTTGTGTCACCGGCAAGCATCTTAAAAGAAAGCTGCAGACGCGCCACCTCGCGAAAGCTTGTTGCAACATGTGGACTCCACCTGGGTGAATACTCCTTGTCTCGCACCGTACACTTCCAGCTCAGGGCATTGACCAACAACTGTGATCCTGTCTGGGCGACCGACAACGAGTGCGAGCCTTGTGGTACTTGTACCTGGCCAAGTGCCAGCGCCAGAGCTTCAGCTCTCAGGTTTGTGCACGCAGGGCCTGCTGAACTCTTGGTGCTCGAGGCCGATACACGAAGCGAGAAACCTGTAACGATGATTGCCATAGCTGATGCCCTTTCGCCGGTTACAGGTCATGGATGCCAGCGGCCCGCGAAGCCTGGGAAAAGCAGTGTTGAGCACAGCAGAGCTGGGCAAAGGCCACGGCTTCCGAAATGTTTAATCGGAAAATGGCAGCTAAATGCGCAGCTGCGCAGGTGTTTGGCACCGAAGGACTTTGCCGCTGGACGGCAGTGGAGAGATCTCCATAGAGGTGTCGCTGGCACATGCCGGCAGGAAGACGGAAAGTGAGGGCGATGCCAGGTCCGCTGCGATGCTTTGCCTTTCGGGCACTGCGAACCCGTGAAGGCCAAGCTCGGCTGCTGCCAACATTGATTCCTTGCCATTTGCCTGCCGTGTCTTCCAGGAACCGTCAAAGATTTCGACAAAGCGCAGCGCCGAGAGACATGTTGTCATCCGCCCCGAATCGGGCCTCGCTTCTGTTTCCAAGGTGTGACGACTCTCGGGGTGCTTCCGAAAGCATCGAACCGATGGGGATGGCGCCTGTCCTCGGCTGCACAGCATGTCAGCACAGTGTGGCAAGCGCATACGAGTGCACTCAGGTGCGTGGGACCCAGATCAGGCTGCCACAGGCAAGGTTGCAGGTTCTGTGCATGTCAGAGGATTTGTGGAAGCTGCTGCCAGGACTGGGCAGATGTGCAGGACAGCATGATCGAACATTCGCAAGTACTGCGCGGGGACGCAGGGGCGGCTGTGCAGGAGTCTGCAGACGAACTAGAACTAGCACCAAAGGACCGGTGAATCCATGTCACTGCGAGTATGTCTGAGTTTGGCTGAGAAAGGCAGGTGGCTCTGCTGACTCTGATACGTGCGCATGACTAGTTCTCGCACATCATGCCCCGCCGCTTATGTTCACCGGAATGGAAGTTTGGTGAAGCAGGACTTGAATTGCGAGATGTTTCGAGGGTTTCTGATGGCACACTGTATGCTGGCATGTTTGTTTGCTCTGTGTAGAGTGGTGTAGAGTGTAGAGCTGTTATTTCTCACCTCTCACATGTTTCAACGGAGTCTTGCAGCTGCTAGCCCCGCGGGATGTCGTGATGCAAGATATGCAAGATGAGTTCGAGGAGCTCTCATTCGGGCGGAGCTCTGACCCTCACAGGAACCGGTCCGTCGAGTCTTCGAAGTCCGAGAACCACATTCGAGTTTTTTTTTTCGCAGGTCTGTGAGCACCTTCGAAGCACCCGGGGACTTGTTCGGTGAGACCCGATTGGAGGCCAAGTGCAGTGTGCCGAGCAGCCCAGCCTGGTCAGCCGTCTTCCGGTAAAGAGAAGGTCCCCGACCCCGCTTCGTGGCTTCTTGGGCTGAGTAGGCAAGGCACGGATGTTATCAAAAGTCCAGCACGGGCTTTGGCGAAAGATGCGAAAGGCTACAACAGTCCACGACAAGTGGGCAGCAAGCAACAAGCTCAGACCAATTCTGGAGGTCAGCTTTGGTAGTGGCAGCATCGGGAGAGTCATCGTCCCGGGGTACTGTTACACCTGGCGAGGGAAACGCGAATGTGTATGCCAACTTGGCCCGTGGACGACTGAGTGCCCTCTGCAGAGTCTGCCTCTCTTTCTGCCTCCTTGGCATTCCTTGTCAAGGCATGCAGGAGCGGCGGCAGGAGCGGCAGAGCTTGCTCACCAAACGCGATGCCAGGGGCCCAGTGTGTCCTTTTCATTGCCGATTCAATGTCCATGCGTGACAGGTGCGTGGCAGCGTGGAGGTGGTGTAAACATGCGTAAAGGTTCCGTCTCGCTTGATTGCTGTGTGGGTAACTGGAAGGCGGATGATGCGGCGGTGCAGAAAGTTTGGGACTCGGAACGCTACCATGTCCATACGGTCTTGCTTTACGCCATCCTGTCAGGCACTCAACAAGCAGAAGTCCGCAAGCCCAGTGAAATCTTTTTAGTTGGAGTTGTGACGAAGATTCTTTTTGGGGTCATCGAGGCTCATGAATCAGGCTGCCCAGGAGCCTCGCCCACCGTCTTTTGTTCGCCTTGATTTGAGTCCGTGGTCTTGCAGGCACATGTCATGACCTCGTCAGGAGCAGCTGCAAAAACTGCTCAAAAAGCTCCAAGATCTCGAGGTTTCCACCCCCTATTCAGCTTTACTTGCATGTGTGCCTGTGTTCTGTCATGACGAGTTCTATTTCTGCTTGCGCTTGGACTAGATTATAGATGCTTTTGAGGATGATGCAGTGCGAGCCAGAGAAGCTCCTGCAGTCTCTCCGAAGCCTCCTGTTGAACACGGAGCTTCGCCAGGGCCGTAGACGTGTCCACGGCATCTCTGCAAATGCGGTTTTTCATATCTGCCATGCTTCGGCCTTGTGCCTCCTCGGCCTTCGGAAGTGCAGCTTTGAGTTCTTGGGCCCCTGCTTGCAGGTGCAATACGAGCACCCTGCTGCCGTCGGCACTGCAGCCGACTGCAGCAGCGGTAGCGACGTCTCCGCTGCTCGGACCTCGGACACAAGTGATGGAAGCTCCAAGGCAGAACCTGCCGCTGTGAGGTCTGCCAAGCCGAAGGCAAGCCCTTCGGATAGAGATCCTGGTCCTACCGGGCCTAGAGCATCCTCACCCTCACCGCCCTCTGTCAGATGCCCGGAGTCGCCTCCTGCCCCGAAAGGTATACCCCACGCTCGCTAGGCCACACCGCCTGCATCTTCAACTTCGAGCAAACCAAAACCTATCGCCTTCCAGGAGAGAAGCGCATGACGCGCCTTGCAGTCTGCCTGTCCCATCTGTCCCCGTTGTGGGTCGCATTACAGGATCGGTTTGAGACTGCCATCGCTATCTTTGGCAAGGCCAGCGTCTTGCAAGTGTAATTTGTATGCTGTCCCAAATTGATGTGGGTGATTGGCCTCATTGGCCTCCGGACTCTGGCCGGGAACTACCCGCCTTTGAGGCGGACTAATTGGACTGCCTTTGGAGTATGGAAGACTTGTGTTCGCAGCCTTCAGCTTTTTCTCCCCCTCCCACAGTCTTAGAACACGAGAATGGTCCACAGCGGGCCGCTTGTCAACCACGCACCGATGGTTAGTTACTGGTGATTTCGAACTGCTTTGCCGAGGGGACACGACCAATACGGTCGGACGGTGCCTTTAGTCTCTAACGCCCAGAGTCTAACCCCCAGAGTCTGGAGGTGAAGAAGGGCGACGGTTGTTTGCGGGGAATGAGCCAAGCTGTCACAACTCGCAAGCTGAGCATGTCGAACAACTGCGATTCGATTAACTGATTAACGGATCCAGGATAGAGATGTGAATCATTGTTATAGTAGTAGTGTTTTTTTTTTTTTTTGGGAGGGGGTCCTGTCATCTCGGTTTCTTGTCCGTAAAATCATGTTTTGCAGGCTTGGCTTCTTGGCTCGGCGTGTTTCTCTAAGCTTTTTGATTTCTGGGTCAGCAGGGTGGTCGTTGTTGCGGATGGTTCTTGACATCTGGGATCTTCGGGGCTGTAAGCCAAGCGACTTGGCGGGTGTTGACGGGAAATGAGTGCATGTTACACCTTGTTGCTTTGCTTTGTGCAGTTTTTTCTTAGCCATTCCACTGCTTTCGTTAGCTTGTGCTACCCTTGTCTAGCTTGCTACTGGTATTGGGAAAGCTTGGAGCCTACAGAAGCCCTGTAGAAAGCTGTGAAGACCCGGGCGGACGAAAACTCGGGCAGTGCGATGGGTGTTTTGGTGGGTCGTAGTCGGACCATTTTTTGCTTTCATTCGGCAGGTCCTTGCAAGAAATACTGAGCTTTGAGAAGCATTTCTAAGTCTTAGTAGCTTTTAATTCGAGCTTTTCTTAGCGTTCAGGTTCTCTAGCTTTGCATAGCACTTGGGGGTAAGTCGGTACTTTCCTTTGCACGTGCATCTTCTGTCCGCGGATAGGTCTAAATTCTAAATCTTCTCAGCCCATGCAGCCTTTTGCGTCGCAGTCTGAGGGCCGTTCAGCAGGTGCCAAACACAGTCAAACGCATGTTTCTAGACCTCCATAAATTGGCTGTCTAAATGCGTCCAAGCTTGTGGTCAGAACTTTATTCAGCGGCTCCGTATAGTCATATTCAACTGACTTTGAAGCTTACACGGGCTAAGATCGAGTCAGAACATACAGCCGTGATACTGCTTAGACGAAAATCCCTCTCTACTTCCTCGCTCGTTCTCTCGTTGCTTCTCTTCCACATCTCCCCATCACCCTCATCTCTCTACCTAGCTCTATCTCTCTATCTCTACCTCTCTCTGTCTCTCTTTCTATCTCTCCTTCTTTCTTTCGTTCTTCATTTCTTTCGCTATTTATGTCTCTATTTATTTATGTTTTTTTTGGAAATCTCTCTGTTTCTTCAAAAGCATAAACGCAGGCTACGCATCCACACATGGTTATGCTGAGGTTGTAGAGCCGCGACGCGCAAAGCATAAATAAGAAGTTACAGGTAGCTAACCAGCTAGGTAACTGACAATCTGACCAGCGACGGGCTGGCTGACAGACTGACCGACCGACCGACCGACTGAATGACTGAAACGTACGCGATACAAATCTTCTGCTCCGACAACAGGATGGTCTGTGTACCCATGCAGAAAGCATTGTGGATAAGCCCAGACAGGAACAAGAGCGGGTCAAAACGCTGGGAACGGAGGGTTAGCTTTTGTATGTATGTTATAGTTTTGTGCATGAGTCAAGAGTCAAGTGCATGTATGTGCATGAACATGTGCATGATGGAGCCTATATACGAGAGTTGTTCTAAACCCCCGGCTCTTTACCGTAGACTAACAGCGCACGTTAATATTTGGATTCATGTTTGGGACCTAGAAAAAACATGACGCCGCGCAAGCCCGCGCAAGGGCGAGCGCAAGTTCGGCGCAAGGGGATAAGAAGCGTTGTTAAGCTACCTAGGTTAATATGGTCGGCCTGGTGTAGAGTGTAC